CCTAGTCTGCCATCTTGCTGGAACTCCCCATATAGATAGTTCTTAAAAGAGCATAAATGCTCAAAGCAGATCTTTTTACTAGTCAAACTAAACTATTGTTCAGTTTTAAGATGAAATTATCTCAGGGCCATAGTTTCAGAGGTTTGTCTACCCTTCATGGCTCCAGAAAGTCTAGGGTCTGTCAGAATTTGAAATTCTGTTCTGCATTTTCCCTCTTTTGATCAGGATTCATCTATGGAATCTTTTGATAGATTTTTTTTTTCCCCTTTTAAAAATAAAATTGAAAAACCTGGTAAATAAAGGAAAAGTGCTTTTACTTATTTCTATTTAAAAGAAGTACTCGACACAGAAATATTTTTAATTTCCTTCAAAATTCAAATCCAGTCATTACAGCCAACATATAAAAGAATGATTTTATCTTGTTATTTTGCTGATATTGGAACTTTTTAAGCTTGGTCTTTTGAGTGATCTGGTGATCTACCAAAGAAAGCAAAAGCATGATCTCTTGTTTCTTGGGCTAATTAACACAATAGGAACTATAATTTTATACTCTGTTAGTTTTAAGTTATTATGACAAGTGAAAATGGGTTATATATTTTTGCCTTCCTTTGGAGTTAGAGGGAGTATGCTTTCTGCATCTCCCTGAGCTTTGCCTTCCAGTTGGCTTACTGTTTCTTAGGCAGTGATCTCTGAAGGATTGAATGGACCTCAGGGGAGAAATGAATGATAAGTTCATCTTGCAAAAGTGGGTTTATTTTTCAAGTTCTGAGTTGTGGTTACTGAAAAGCAACTCTGTAATAGAAAGCATTTGGTTCATATAATTTTAAAATGAAATTTATTTAAAATTGGAATGTATATAATTCCAGACTCTTACATATATATTTCATATAATTTCTGATAAGAGTATATATACATTTGTACCTTGCTTTTTTCCTCTTTACATTATACAGTGTATATATACCTGGAGGATGCCTTCTGATATATATCTCCTTATCACTAACCTCTTTTTTTCTCCCAGCATTCTGTCCATTACCATTTCAGGAAAGGAGGGGGAAAGTGTATCACTATAGGAAGGAGGAAAATCCTGTGCCAATCCCAGTACTTGATGGGAATAAAGCAGAGGACAGGGAGAGAGATGTGGTTTGAGGTGGTGAACAAGTTCCTTGTTTCCCTGACTACTAGATAAGGTAGCTCTTGGCTCCTACATGTCCTGGTTGGGAGATTTGGAGGGCTGAGGCTCTGAGAATATCAGTGGATGGACAGGGTCCTGGAGTCAGAACCAAGAGATTACAGTGTGAGGGAAATATTTAACTAGGAACTTTCCAAAGGACCTAGTGAGACCATGAACGCCATCAATAACTTCCCTACCCTCCACATCCATGTACCATCTTGGAGAAGGGAAGGGAAGCAGAAAAGATATTTAAATCTCTCTTTTCCAAGGAGACTGAGTTACTTAAAGTGATTGCTTAAATTATTAGGTGAAGTTTTGAATTTATATTAGAGTAAATCTCCAATGCCTGCCACACATATTTTTCCCCAAGACCCCCACCATTATTCAGTGGAGAAAGGGCTCAGAAGAAAGTTTAGGAGAGCTATTTACAGAAAAAAATGGAGCTCCACTTTTTTCATATCTGAGGTGTCAAAACCAAAACCAAACTCACTGCTGTCAAGTCAGATCCGACTCATAGCGAGTTTCCAGGGCAGTATCATTGCAGAAGCAGATTGGGTTTCCAGGGCAGTATCACTGCAGAAGTAGATTGCCTAATCTTCCTTCTGAGAAGCAGCTGGTGAGTTTGAACTGCCAGCCTTGTGGTTAGCAGTCAGATGCCTTAGGCACTATCTGAGGTGTAGCATGACTAAAATTGTGACCCTGTTGTAATTATAACAAATACTTTCATACTGTTAATACAGCTCCATGAATGTCACTTTGTACATCATTTACTTATCTGACTCCTATATTTGGAAACAATTTTAATTATTACAAATAATGGCACAGAGAACATATTAGGCCCATTAAAGGACAAAAGTGAATTATTTTATTTGAAGAGGAAAGTCATAAATAATTTATCAAAGTTATCTCTAGATTTGCATTTTCTGTGTATGTATAATGATAATTGTTATTAATGAAAGTCAACCTCATTAAGGCAAAAAAGGAATTTTGAAGATGAAAATGTTGTTTATTCTTGGGAGAATAAGTTACTAGTGCAACTGAATCTATGTATAGAACCTCTAAAATTGAGGGAAATGAAAATGTATGGAATGTATTCATAAATATTGAATGCAGAAAAAATAGAAGGGAAAATATAATGAATGACAATGACAGCATTGGACTGACAAATAACTGAATCAACTGAAATTACTTGTCATGTGTCAATGGATTCATCTTCCCAGTCAAGCATTTGCCCTCAATATCATTTTTTAAACCTCTTTCTTCATTTTCAGGTAGAATGATGACGACAACAATAAAAACAGTTGCATTTACAATTCTTTAGATCATGCTGCTTTCAAAATCACAACACTCGGTGTTCACAATTGGTTTGCTTGTGAATTGAGGTGGAGGTGCCAGGTAGGGAATTTATTTTTCCTTACAAGGCTGCCTTTCATTAATAATTATCACACAGCACCAATAATACTAGCAGCCATCTTTACTAGGCAGTTTACACTGAGGGGCATCTAATTCATTCCTTACCCAAATTGATGAATTTATTGCATTATTATCCCCATTTTACAGATGAGAGAGTTGAGACATAAAAGAAAGAAACAAGTTGCTCAGGGTTAGGCTTAGTTAGGGCCAGAGCTTGAATTAATATGTGATTGATTAGGCTTTAAATTGTCAGCTGATCCCCATAGAAATAAATTTTCACCTAAGTGATGGCACTTCTTGAGGAACTGAGATAACTGATGAGAGGAGGAGCAGGTCATCGGGACCCAGGAGGATGGTGGTCCAGGAGGGACTCTCAGAGCTTGGCTAGGCTCTGGTTTCTTCTCCTCTGAGAGTCTGTCTGAAGTAACTCATGGGGGTGGCTGGGTTTGTGCTTGGGCTAAGGATATTAGAGTTTACTACTTAACAGTTTTTAAAGAATCTTTAAACAAGGAGTTGGGAAGAGCAAAGTTAGGGTAGGGTGAGCATTTTGTTCATCTTCTGAAAAGAAATGGAATATTGTTCTCTCCCGCTCTTCCTTCCCTCCTACTGCTCGGCATCTAACACGGTAACTGGTATATGAGTGCTCAAAAATGCTTGTTGAATTGGTCTGAGGAACATCAGATATTCCTGCCCAGGACTCCTCAAGGCAGCATTAGCTGTGAGAAGCAGGCACAGGTGGAGGAAGTGGAGCATAGCAAAACTTCGGAAGAGCTGTTCATTTCCAGATCTCCTAATGACAGGCTTTATTGATCTCACTTCTGAAAACCTAAAATTACAAATGTGCCCACCAAAATAACCCACTGCTGTTGAGTTGATTTTGACTCATAGTAACCCTATAGCACAGAGTGGAACTGCCCCATAGTATTTCTAAGACTGTAAATCTTCGTGGAAGCAGATTGCCTCATCTTTCTCTCCAGCTGGTGAGTTTGAACCACTGACCTTTTGGCTAGCAGCCAAGTGCTTAACCACTGAACTACCAGGGCTCCTTTACAAATGTAAGCAAACCCACTGCCATTGAGTCAATTCCAGCTCATAGTGACCCCCTTTGGATTTCTGAGGTGGTAAATCTTTACGGAAGTAGATTGCCCAGTCTTCCTTCTGCAGAGTGGCTGGTGGGTTTGAACGGCCAACCTTCTAGTTAGCAGTCAAATGCCTTAGGCACTGTGCCACCAGAACTCCTTTTTACAAATACATAGCCATCTGAAAGAGCAGATAGGGCTGACTGAAATAAAAACAGAATGCATTCTGCTCACAACTGCCACAGGCAACAATCTTCTTATCAGGGTCTAGACTATTGGCCCTCCTTTCCCTCCCTCTCTTCCTTCTTTCCTTTTTTCCTCCCTCCCTCCCTCACACCCTTCTTTCTTTCCTTCCTTTTAAATTACACAAGTGATATGTGAATTCACTATGGATCGTTTATTCCCCTGTTGATGGGCTCTACAACTGTTTTAAGATTCTAAGCAATGATGCAGTGAAGTTTTTCTACACATACCATAGTGCACAGGTGCAATTATTTTTATGAGGCTAGTTGTCTAAAAGTCAAACAGCTGCGTCAAATTTAAAATTTGGGCAGACATTGACAAATTACTCCTGAAAAAAATCCTTGACAGACCTAGTTTTACTTAGTTACTTACACTGGATATTATTTGCCTTCTTTTGCCAACTTCATGAGCAACAAGAGATACCTCATTGTTTTTAGATTACCGTGATTATAGTGAGATGGAGAATCTTCTCCTATGTTTTATTGGCCATTTGGATTTCTTCCATGAATTGTACCTTCACATGAGTATGGATTGCATCTCTTTGCTCATTTTAATATTAAGACATTTGTCTTTTTACTGATGTGAAAGTGCTATTATTGATGTTTATCCCTTGTCTATAATATATGTTGTAAATATTTTTCTTCCACATTATTGCATCTCTGTTTTGTTTAAGGTATATTTTCCTACAGAACTCTTCTTGTTAATGGCTTTTGGGGGTGGTGTCTTAATTAGAGAGTGTTTTTTTTTTTTTTTAAACCTAAGATTATAGAAATATTTGAAAAATATTTTTTTCTTGTACTTATATACTTTTGGTTTTAGGTTTGGATCTTTGATGTAGAATTGACTTACGTGTGGTTAGAAACAAATTTTACTTTTTTCTAAATGGAAAGCCAATTGTACTTCAACCACTGTTGACTAGTCCAGATGTTTCCTACAGGTTTGAAATGCTTGTTACATATAAATTCCCTACATTTTCATTTCTGGAGAAACTGTAGAATTCAACTGTAGAATGTCAAATTCCATAAAGAATCCTATTGGGATTTTCACTGGGGTTAATTTGGATGAAATTGCTATCATTATCATCCTTACTTACCTGAATGGATACTGTGTCCTTTATATGCTTTGTAAATATGCTTTTATAAACATCATTTCCTATACCCCTTTTAGTAATCCAGTGGGTTAGACTCTATCAGTCTCATTATCCAATGAGGAAACTGAGGTTTAGAGAGGTTAAGTCATTTGTCCAAGGCCACTTGATGAGTAAATTTCTGAGCCAGAAATTTATTCACAATTTGTCTTGACTCCAGTACATTTCGTATTAACCACTATGGGATAATTATTTTAGAATTGCTACTACTTTAAAGGAATAGCAAGTAAGAAGCTAAATCTCTCTTGTTTCTAGTTGACTGAGTCAAGAAGTAGGTGGCTACAAGTCCCCCTGGCAGGAAATCAGAAGCTGTGGTCACTGGAATGAACAAGAGAACAGTAAAAACAAACAAAGAAAACCAAGTGATCTGATCACGACATGAGTCTGAGGGCATCAGCGCTGAGGAAAATTTCAGGTGTGTGTGATTGGTTGGTCACAGTTGGAAAAAAGTGGCATCATTCCCTGAGTCTGGATCAGGGAAAGGCTCAGTCTAAGCCTTCTGAGGGCAAAGTTCATAATGCAGGCCTTATCTGGTTGTCACGGGACCTAGCAGAATTAGAAACCTTCATGTTCCCTGTATATTGACGAGGACTCCTATACCCTAAAGTCTGGTTCATGGCTAGAAAGCCAATTACATCTTCTTTTCCTCCTTCTAAGAAACATCTCAAAACCTCAATGAATAGAAGTGGAGGGTTGATTATACATGATAACACATCTACAGAATCAACTACAATGCAATCATTATAAATGGTGTTGTTGTTGTTGTTATGTGCCGTCAAGTAGGCCTCGACTCATAGTGACCCCTCCTTGGGTTTCTGAGGCAGTATCACCACGGAAGTAGATTGCCCCATCTTCCTTCCGAGGAGTGCCTGGTGGGTTTGAACCACCAGTCTTCTGGTTAACAGTCAAGTGCCTTAGCCACTATGCTACCAGAGCTCCTTTATAAATGGTATCATAGAATATATTTAAGGAAATGTTCTA